TTCCACATCAAACTTACGTTCCTGTAGCGAACCACCTTCCTCTTGTAGCCGCTTCCTGCGATGATGTCACACTCAGAGACGTAGAGGACACTGCTTTTGTTGGGCAGGAGGAAATCTGCCACTCCGAGCTCAGTCTCAAAGATGATTTTCACACCTCCATCTGCAGCAGATGCAAATTCATTGCACTAAACACACAAACACTTTAGCCAGAGCGGGAAGCGCTCGCTGTGTGCGGATCTGTGAGTGCTAAAAGCAAACTGTTACTAGAGCCAGTCCTTCTCTAAAAGCAAACATTACATTTCTTAAAAGTGCTTTAAAAGTCCAAACACCTGACTGACACTGCCCCCTCACTGCATCATTACATGCAACATGCGGCTTCTGCATTCTACGTTGCTCGTCAGACGACCACAAGGGGGCAGTATATAACGGTGTGCAATAAAATCCGCTTTAACTGAAACTGAAGAGAAGCTGAATTTGCCTGCACACAGAGCTTACAATGTTGTCTGTATATATCATCATTCATTTGATCAGTAATAAAGTGACTGAGGTATTTCACCGCACTGAACCTCAGGAGTGTTGTTGGACAGTTTAAACACAGGGAAATTTAGCCGTTTATGCTGCTTTTAAGAGCACTGTACTTTATGTCAACTCACCAAATGCTTCCGGTCTGACCACCTCACTTATTCACATCTTAATAAGAGAAAAACTGCCAAGTTTCAGCCCTCTGCTGTTATTGCTCATAAAATACAGATTTTTGTGATGAAATCAAATAGCTATATTTACAGAGCTACTTAAGCTATGTCATTCAATGTTTAGGCCAAATATCTGATACTATGAGTTTTATGAATATATCATTTAAAGTGTAGCTGATGTTTAATAATAAATTCTGAGAGCATGAATTTGTTTGAAAATATTATTATCATCATATTTGAACATTAACATTAAACTCTGGCATCAAAAACATGTTCTATTGAAAATAAACTATACTTAACAGTATAAATAATTCAGTAACTATAAAATAAGGCTTCATCCATATCTACACGCGTTTTGCTTTTAAACCTTACAAGTATTAAAAGTCAGTACTTTTATAATAAAACGTTAAAGGCGGGTTCTCGTCTGGTTTTTGGTGAATGTTTATTACTCCGGGTTCGTGGTGCTTATTTACCTTTCAAACCCTGAATGAAGGACGAGTTTCTCCATTTGTCGCTGCAGATCATGTGTCCGTAAGGAGGAACCGCGTTAAGCAGCACAGGCGCTTTGTTCTCCATGTAGCTGAGCACCACAGCGGGTTAAAGTTGTCTTTATTGACTTGGATGAATGTAGGACGTTAG